GCGGTTTCTGTAAGCTCTAGGACCTACATTAGAAAAATAACTTTTTTTGGTCCCCAAGTCTTTGATGCCAGCCCATACTGTCATTATGGTACACAGACCAGAACCATAATAACACCTCTCCTCCTCCTCCTCCTCCTCCTCCTCCTCCTCCTCCTCCTCCTCCTCTCCTTCCTCCTCCTCCTCCTCCTCCTCCTCCTCCTCCTCCCCTCTCCTCCTCGCTCCTCCTCCTCCTCCTCCTTCCTCCTCCTCCTCCTCTCTTAGGGACTCTAAGATGAAGTGTCAAAATCCCAGGCAGAGGGAGATCACAACAAAACTGATATCAACAGGAGTGGCTCCATTATGGGCTTAAGATAGGAGAGAGTGCTCTCTGGTTCTGCGCTCACTCAAATCCACACATTCCTGCAGGGTTTAGGGAGAGCCAGGTCACCCCTGTGGACTCTTCTCCCCAGCCACTGCCTCAGCCCGGGGGGCATTGCTCAGGGTACAGCTGGGACATTGAAGGGATTTGGGGGTCCTTAAGGAGGGGTGTTGGGTGGTCTGGGGTGGCCTGGAAATCAGAAGGCACTTGACGCCTTTGTCTTGTGACTTTGCACACCTGCAGTGAATGGCTGTCTCTTTGGGGATGAGGTGAGTTTTCTGAGATGTGAGAGAAGACTTAGTGAAGCACTCACATCTAACAGACCCCGACAACTTGTTCATTACTTGGGAATATGCCACGTTTTATCAAGGTATTTTAAGAATGTCTATACACCCAAACCAAATTGGAGCATTGACCTTCTAAAAAACTGACAATTTATTTAGAAACAATAGATGCTTGTAGAACCTGGAGCAAATCAGCCATTAAATGTCTCAAAGCTAAACATTATCTGAGACGATTTTTTTAACAGTTAAACAGGGACCTTTCCCTGACTGCATTCCTCCATCTTCCTAATTTGATTAGAAAAGAGTTTGACTATTTTTATGATCTGCACTCAAAGCCCTAACGATTCCTCAGAGAGTAGGAGAAACTGAAAAAAAGAAACAATTGAGAAGATTGCCAAGCTGCCTCCCCGGGGTATGAAGTCGAAGTGAAGAGATGGATTGTGCTGGGTCGAGATCAACGTAGGCAGAAACTGCAGTCATGTGCATGATGGAATATCTCAGATGGAAAATGCTACTGACCCATTCTCTCTTGAGCATGCAGAATATTTGGAGAACATTTCAGTCTTTTGTTTATTTGTTCTACACGTCGTTTGGAGGCGAGTCGCCAAGGCTCCGTTTGCTGGGAATAGCTTTGAAACTGAGGCCAAACATCGAGGCGAGTCAGGGAGGCCTAGTCTCAGTGTTGGTACATGTATACATGTGAATTATTTACTTGTCGTCCAGCAGGAAATGAGGAACGATAACAAGCTTGGGAAAGAAAAGCAGAAAAACAAACAGATGCTATCTCAACCCCTCGTTCATTTCTTTCTTTCTCCTCTCTTTAATCTGAGGCAGTCGGCCGTGTCCGACCTCAGACCAACGACAGAGAACCTGTCCCTAAAACAGCGGCAGGAAGTGGAACAATCATTATGTTAGTTAATTACTGTTAATCTAAAAGATGGTGAACAAATTAAAGGGGAAGTGTGTACATTGCCTGCAGGTACAGTACATATGTGAAGAAAGTGTAGGCTACAATAAACCCACCAGCTGGGCCAAAGACTACGAATAAACTAGATAGACTACTGAAACTCCGATCAAACTGTTGATGATTCAGTTGTTGTTGTTGTTGTTGTTGTTGAGCGCCACGTTTTAACAAGAAAGAACAATGTGTAGAATAAGACATCCTGTTTTTTCTGTTTCTGCCTCACATTTTTTTGACTGTCCATTGCGAGTCCTAGAATGGTATTAAAGAGCAATGCTAAATTGGTATTTTTTATTTTGTTCCCATTAAGTGAAACCAGATCTGACCACCAGGTTACTGTGTCGTCACTACCTGAGCCGGACCTTGTGATGATCTCCTGACCCAATTTCTGACTCTCCGTCTCCCCCTGACCTAGGCCCGACACCCCCTCTCATCCCTAACCTTTCAATCCCATCAGCCTCACCATTGCTCAATCACCTGTGACCAGGCCTGGGTGGGTGACCTTTGACCCGAGAAGGTCACGATTAGAGCTGAGAATCAGAGCAGCAGAATTGGGGACCAGGCAGAGAGGAGATGGCCCTGGACCGAGAGCTTCGACCCAGCGAGGCTGAACTCTGGAAGAGTCAGGTCGCCACACCCAATACATCTAGAAAAGAGAAGAGCTGCGTATCAAAGGCTCTGGTCATTAGCGCGGGAGGTTTGGGGGGGATTTTTATTTCCACCAGGGTGTAGGGATCATGGAGGTGGGAGAAGGCATTAAGAAATGTTGGCAGGCATTTTAATTAGCTTGATCTCGCCAGACAAGGGATAGGAGGCAGCAGACAGAGATGGTGACTATGGGAACACAGAGCACAAGAGAGGAGGACAGGAAACAAAAGAGAGAGAATCACGGAGAAAGAGAGAGGGATAACGTGGGGTGAGGGTCGCACGCCCAGGGGCTACTCTAACTGTGCCAGATCTAAATATGCAGCACCAAATAAAACATCCTCTCATGAGATCATGGGTGGCTGTGACTGGTTAGGGGATGCAACAAACACACACAAACCAAATCGCTCCCAGCCATCCTATCTTGTAAATTGTTGGCGATCTCTATATAAACTTGGAATTTGGAGGAATGTACTTAAAAAGTCGTCCTGTAAATGAGGAGGCAACAGTTCCCATGCTGGGATAAATTCTTTAAAATGTATCTCAGTGGTGTTCAGTACATTTCACACCACTCAGGAGTGCACAAAAAAAGGAGAGCCTATTAGAGGTCATACTCCTCCTCCTCCATGTCCATTGCCTCCTCCACCTCCGTCTGCTTCCTTTCTGTCTCCTCCTTCCCACTGGCTCTTATTTGTTTGGACAACAACATACACAGGAGCCTTGCATCAAACATACTTAGCTGTGGGAGTAGCTGCAAGTTGTACAAGAGCCAAGAGGCAGCAGCAAAAAAGGGTGGAGGTCATTCATCCATCCATCCAACACCCTGCTACTGTAACTCTCCTCCTCTCCTGTTTGGCACTGAATGAGAATGGGGAGGAACAGAGCAAAAACAAGCTGGCTGCGAAAAAAAAAACATGTTTGCATTCGTGATAACAACGATAAAACACAATGTGTAGCCACAAAGCAATTGCGTCACATAAGAACAATAGCAATGTTTTTTTTAAATATATATATATCCTTGTTTTGAGTTTTAAGTTCTGCAGTGGACATTCCTCACCATCACCCGAAAAATTGGACGCTCTCCAAGCTTTTCTTTTGCGGGGGATCAAGTGAACGTAAATACAACCGAGACCTTTTAAGTCACTCGGGTAGAATTATAAATTGAAAAAAAACATCCTTTTAAATTGGCTGTTGTTGACCGTCTGAGTGCTGATGGCTGAGTTTATCCTAACATGGTGATCATGTTTCTTTCAATGTGAAAGTGTGGTTACCTGAACCGATGATTGCTTAGCTGGCGAAAGGTTTTTGGCTTCAGCGTTACAGGCACAGTGGGACTGCAGGAGCTGTAGCACAGATTATGGGACTATGAGAGCATAAAGGGCCCAAACACAGAACTGAGTGACCTAAATTAAAAGTTGGTAAAAGAGTGTGTGAACGTGTGTGTTTGGTCGTGCTCTTGTATTTGAACATTGGCAGAGTGCCACGTTATCAAGGCTTCATCTTACTGCTCATGCGACAGTGCCAAGTTTTGTCCTCGGCTTGCCCACCCAGGATGGCCCAGTAATGGCCCTGCCTAATCAGGTGCTGTGGACACACACGCACACACACACGCACACACACACACACACATAAAACAAAACAGGCCAGCTCTGGTTTTCTTTCTGATGTTACGAGTGTTATATAAAGAGGCTTTCTTAATTGTTTTTTGACAAAGCAAACGCAACTCAAGGTCTTCTTACTATCTTTTTAGTGAACAGAGATCATCCATCCATACAAAATCCATCCATTGACAACACACTGTTGTCATGGAGATGCATATGATGAAATTGGGAGCTCAGTACCTGTTATGCTTGCATCCAAAGCACTTTCAGGAACTCTTTGTTGGACTCAAATTGCAGCCTTGATATGAAACAACAATTTTAATAACCAATGCTAACTCAAGGTCCACTTAATCGATATTATCTGGAACTTGTAGATTATGTTTTCATATACATGGCATGCATGCAACTGCTATTTCTCTCTCTAGTAAGCATGTCAATAAGAAGAGAGAAAGAGTACTAATGTTCGGCATTAATTCATAACATTTTCTGATATGTTAATCATAGTAAACGGCCATGATTAGACATGTGGACACCAAAACTGAAATCCTTGCAGATCGTAAAGCATTACATTTTTCACTCGAGATCTACAAACCCCAAATGAGTGTATTTCCTTTTTTTTTGTGTGTGTGTTTGTTTGTGTTTTGTCAAATGGATTGTGTGAGCTTGTGTGTATTTGTATTTGTGGGGAGGGGAGGTACTAAACTCAATGTCGGCAATAAGGGGCACATTCCTAAGTTGATTTAGTGGGCATTAAGATGAAGAGGAATGTGTCAAAGCTGTAGAGGCTTTAGTCCACTGTGGGGTAAACTGGCTGGGAGGAGCTCTGACGGCTCAGACTGACGGATGATTGACACTTGACTTAATGTGAGGACGCTGAAGAGCAAATAGTGGAGGGAAGCCGGGATGGAGAGGAGGTACCTGGAGGAAGAGGACAGTTAGTACTTTGGAGAAAGACAATGGAGGCTTGAGATATGACGCTTGAGAGACGTAGGGTGTTAGATGAGTTAAATGAGAGAGAAGTAAGTCTAGTCAGGAGAGGAGGAGAGGTTGCCAAGAGTTAGGATGAGAAAGCGGAAAAAAGTGAAGAGTTACATTTACACAGGGTCAAGGAGGGGCCGATTAAGGGATAATAACGACTCAAATCGAGAGGATTTCAGAAGCTAATCTTTATTTGCCCAAGAGGGTTGATAGTTGAAAGAAAGACATAAAATATTCTTTTCATAAGGTCCCATTGTATACAACATTGGTCACTAGGTCAGTTGTGCATCTTTGACAGATAACATTAGATCAAAGGAAAGCAACACAAATACATATTTTTTTACATATTTATTTTATATAATTATATCATATAAGTAATGTCTTAAAAAGTGCTAAATCAAACATCAGTATTGAACCAACATTACAAACTCTTAAGTGGTGCAAAAGCTGTCATCTAGCAATTTACTGTAACATAAAACAAAAACAGCGTAAGAAAGCAACAGGAAAGACGTGTGTGTGTGTGTGTGTGTGTGTGTGTGTGTGTGTGTGTGTGTGTGTGTGTTTTGAGGATTGACCTAGTCCTGAGACAGTGCAAGCATATAGAGAACAGTTGTGTGTTTCATGTCAGGTTGTTTGTGTTTTTGTGGACCGGACTGATAACATTTACTGCTCATAGATCAGACTGAGAACAGAAAGGATTATTTGAGAAAAAGCTAACTGTTATTGGCTGACATAATATTAAAATCTTAATTCAACATATCACTGCCTTTAATAAATCCCCCAACTGATAATAGCAGTAAAAGCACACATAAGAAGCACTAAAAATGAAACAGCCACATTTTATTTTTTTTCACACTGTGAAAAAAATAGGCAAACAACAGCCAGCTGGACGTAAACATGACTTCACTTCCTTCGTTTTTCCTGAATTCGACTGTACCCTTCATAAATTCATGAAAGTGCAAACACCCTTCTCTGTCAGTTTAGAAGCATGCATCATATACAGTTGCCACACTGTACAAATGACTCATTTACCTGTATTAAGTTGAATGATCTCGGCCCTTGATCTGATTTTTACACTCCTGCATGTTGATTTTGACATAAAGCTACGTGACAGCACAGGTCAAGTCAAAGTGCACAAGATCAAAAGAAAATAAACGAGCAACATGGAAAAAAGGCAGGAAATGAGCGCCCTGTAGTTGTGGATGTAAAACCCATGTCCTTTACCCCTTCTCCTAACCTCACCCCACCCACAGACCCAAACTCTGATGCTGATGCTGCCCACCCCTGCTGGTGGAGCCCAGAGGGGCTGAGGTGTCACACTGTGAGGGAGATGAAGCTGTTGTATCTCTGGATGTTCCTCTTGAGGATCTCTGAGCACGGACCCAGCACACGCTCAAAGCGAGGCCGGTCCAGCTTCACACACTTCAGCGGACCACGAGCGACTACGGTGGCTGCCCTGGGACGGTTCAACAGGAGGGCGATCTCACCTGGAGGAGGAAGAGGTACACAGGACAAACAACAGTTTTGAGTCAATGAAAACATTACATTTTGTTTATCGCAGTAATAACCTGTGATTAATCAATAGTTGGGATGTTTTAATAATGAATGCATGAGAAAGAGAAAGCTGATTTAAACTTTGTTATTTTAGTGATTTCAGAATTTCTGGCATGATTTTCCGACTCTAAGCAAAAGCATCCACAAAGCCGCTGTCACAAAAAGCTGCTTTGATTTCCCTCTGTATACTTTATGCTATATATTTCATATGGTAGTATTCTCCCTGCCACTATCATATTGCATATATCTAGACTAGAATTACATTACAAAGTTAGGGCTGAATTTGGCAATGTAATTTTCTTTTTCACAAATTAAGATTTTCCGGATGAATCACAAGTTAACATTGACAGCCCTAATGAATACAAATGTCTTAATGTGTATGCTTTGTGTAGGAGTGCAATGTATGTCTTAGCATTCATTTTAGCATTCGTTCAACCAAGTGCAATTTAAATGCAAAACTGAAATATTAAGACCAATTACAAATACCACACATCAGTGCAATTTAACCAACCTTTGACCTTTCTCAGATATGCGACAAGCCAGGGTTGCATGCACAATTTATGTTTCTATATGCTAACTTTAAGGTATAACTTGAACCAGTTTCAACAGCTGATTGTATGTGGTGCGAAACTCACCAAAGTAGTCAGAGGGTCCGAGGCGTCCGACCTCCACATACTCCTCGTTATCGGACCTACGCTGCAGAACAGAGGCTATTCCCTGGAGACAGAAAAGGAGAGGTGGAGGAAAGAGAGAAAAGGAAGAGACAAGAGAAAGAACAGGATGAGAGGGGGTGTGGGTGTAGAAGAGAGAGATGGAGGAAAGGAGGGGGTGGGAGAGAAAAGGAGGAGTTATTTAACAAATGGGTTGAAAATCGGCAGGAGGATTAAGCCAAGGAGAAATTCCTTTGCTTCATAGGAACGCAGGTGCACAGGATTTAGCCCACTTTCCAGTGGGACTGACACCTGTTCAGCGGGATGCTTATGAACAACACAACTAAAAGCCACACACTCACATATTCCAACTGGATGGGTTATAGAAATTCAGATTGGTTCTGCTTCCTCCAGAGTGTAATAAATACAAACATCTAAGCCTTATGAGAGACTGACTGACTCCTCAGTGTCTCCATCACTTAATCCACTTGATCAGTATTGACCCACAAAGTGGAAATAATGATATTTTCCAAGACTGAGCTCCAATACAGTGTTTCTAAAGGACCCTAAAACAACACACACTTCATGTACACACTTTCGTACGCTCCACTAGACTGTGGGTTAGAATGTCTCAAACCCACAGTCTACTCTGCATATGCAAACACGCACAGTCAGGCATTAATCACAAGAAACATAGACCCAGATGGACACAGATTGAAACACAAACCAGCACGCAATTACCCATACACACATACAGTGAGAAAATCAACAGCTGATGTCTGCTGGACAGACTGACTGGGCTCTGAGCGGCTTGGATACGCTTATTACCGTCACCCGCTGGTTGCTGTTGTGTGACTGAATGTGTGAGTCATCTAAAAAGTATAATGCAGGAAATTTGATTTCCGTTTACTCTGCCCAACAGATGATGACAGTTCAAGCAGCCGTATCTTGCAGCTGTTGGTTTACTCAGTGTGTGTGTGAATGAGAACATGTTTGATTGTTTATCAGTGCTATGAGCTCAAATCTTGGAGTGTTCGATGCAGACAGTGAGCTTGACAACGTTTTTCTCCAAAGTATTGCTGTGTTTCTGTGATGGAGCATACGTTTGGCATGCGTATGTTTTGACTGAGGTAAAATATGTGTTTTTAACGATGATGTCTAGACATTTACATGTACTCAAGTTCAACTGTAAATTGGTAGCAGGTAAGAAATCAGCAGGGGAACTTCCCAGCTTGTCTTGGACCGTGTTGTAAAACAGACTTGACCGTTCCAGCACTCTAATCCTTTTTTCTGCCCTCTCTGCTCCTTCTGATGACCAGGATTATAATGCTTAATATGAATATAATGAGCTTTAATGAGAACCCCAAAACGGTCAGCTCACACAAAGGTGAGACTGTATTTTAGTGAAAGGGATATGTGTGTGAGTTTGTAATGAACTGTGGCGAAGTGGGGGATAATGTTCAGGTAAGCGGGGCATAGTGTGTGTGTGTGTGTGTGTGTGTGTGTGTGTGTGTGTGTGTGTGTGTGTGTGTGTGTGTGTGTGTGTGTGTGTGAGAGAGGTGACCAACTGTCCCGTGATGCCATGACCACACACACACGATACAGCAGGGTGAATCAAGCTGAGGGGCGGGGAACGAGGGCAGTCATGGTGTGGCTGAGCCTGGCTGGAGGTAAGGTTAAGTGTTGTGGACAAGATACATCATGTTTAGTTTAAAAACGGTCCTTTATGTTGACTTTGACACTGCAAAACATGCACGATGCAGTAACAGTGATATTTAATTCCTCCAAAAGCAATTTTGCTTTTTGATGAGTCGATCGAGCAATAGCTGGACTGAAGAATAAGTCACATGACTCATGTATATATAATATATGTATCGACTATGTCTGTTCTTATTTTTTGTTTATTGAAGCGTTTATGCCTCATTGCAGATGTGAACTCAATACAGATACTTCACTATGGTAGTTGAATGGAGGTTATTGAATTACATTTTCATAAAGACCAAAGAAAGAAAATCCCATAAAGTTATACCACTTCATTTGAGAATCACCCATGAATAAATGAATGTGCAAACACTGCAACAATCAGTGATTTAACTTCATCCTGTGCACCCGAGTGTAAAAGTGTTTTAAAACAGAGAGAGGATGTGAATGGGGGAGAGAACGACTGTTTACAACCAGTTGATTCCTTTCCTTTCCATTCATGTCCAAACAAAAAGAGTGAGACAGTGCAGCACCGTCATGTACAGTAGTTCATTGGTGAGCAGGCCTCTCCCAGTGTGGTCCAGATAACCATCATGTACTGTACCACCCCAGGGCAGCGCTCTGCTCCACAGATATTTCTTTTATAAACGTCCAAGATCCTCGTCACCATGCTTCCCAACGCAGAGTGCCAACAAAAAAAAGGAAACAACACTAAATGAAAAAAGACAAACAGGGAAGACAAACAAAAAGCATGAATAAGTAAAGTTGCAAATAAAGATAGTGGGAAACGGTTTGAGTCAACATAAAGGGCAGCGGTTCTAAATGATCACTTATATGTGTTATAACCGGTCGGATACAAATCTTAAATTGCATAACCCAAAATGCCCTTTCACACCCACTTGTACGCATACCTACATACACATACCACACGCAGAGCATAGCAAGTCGGCTCGTGGTGACATGTCAAAATGTAGCATCCTGCATGCAGGAAGTTACAACCGTTAGATATTCAACAGGCACAGAGAGGGAGAGGCACCAGCAGAGATGGAAGAGGAAAGGTGATATCCTGAGTAGCCTGTTCACGAGGCCACCCAGCACCGTGTCTGCACCTTCTCACTGAGACGTCGACGTGCACACAAAGTTTCCGCTCTTGCACGGCCTAAAGGCTGATTTAACAAAGAGAAATAACGAGACAAAAATGATTTCTAACAAATAGGACCTGTTAACATTTAGCTTTGTTCTTGTGACTGCATGCTCACACTCACAAATGTCTTCATTAATTAACGGCATTGATCTTCAGTCTATGAAAGTGGTGTGGAGCTCCATTAGCTTAATTGCATTTCATAGGTTACAGTGGCAGTATATGTAGACAACCCACAGAGGATTTCTCTTCTGTGTGACCCGGGGGGACAATTTACATCCCCTCAGTGTGATTACTTTTGTGTTGGGTCAAAGGACAAATATGAAAAACACATTGAGTTGAAATTTAGATTGATGACTGGAGGAGATGAAAGTGAATGCACAAGCTGGGGAACAACAGCTCTGATTTTACTCAAATTCATCCAGAGGCTAACAGGCATAGCACACGAGTCATATGACTTGGAGTTGAGTAAGACTCAAGTCATGAGTCTAAATGACTCACTTTATTTTTATCAAAAAAGACTTGTTAGTACACTCACTGTGACATTTATGTTTCACCAGTGAACTGAAGATTACAAATAGGACCATAATGATTGAGCCAAATTGCCGTCACATTGTCGTACAGAGAGGTTTGAAAGGGTTTACTTGTGACCTGCAAAAAAGTGACTTTGACACATCACTGCAAAAAAGTTACAACTAAATAAAAAAACTGAAAGGGATCGCCTATGAAGCAGCGTAGCTTTTTTTCTTTTCACCACTCTCACTGAAGTCTCTGATATTCATCAAGTTTCCTAATCCCTCCGTCTTACTCTTTTATTAGATGCAGCATTTTAGGTGGCAGTGGTGACAGCATGGATGACAGGGTGCTGGGTGGTGGTGTACAAGCATGAGGAAGAAAGAGAGAGTTAAGGTAATAAGCCACGAAGAAGGGAGGAAATAGAGGGAAGAAAGGAAGGAGAGGACACGAGGAAAGGTGCGGCCAAGTCTTTGCGGCCCTGGCGTTCTTTAAAGGCTTGTTTGTACAATATGAGAAAAAAATGTAAACATGTCACTTTTCATTAGGGCCCCATTCCCAACGAAAGTGATGTCTCTATACCTCCCTTTTGTTAATCCTCCCCATCAGCAGCATGTAATTAGTGATTGAGGGGTTTGTCTTTGGCCGATGCTCCAAAACCGCAGAAACAACAAGAGTGAGAAGAAACCGAATTAGTGGGAGGCGGGGGACAGAGAAATAAAACAAATAACCAGTTCTGACTGAGCAAAACGCTGATATTTTCATCTCAGAAGAAAGGTATGCAGGTAAAAAAGAGAAGAGGATGACGAGTGAGGAAAGTTGTTGCGAGACTGACAACATCCTCGTCTCCCGCCTACTTGTG